CGTTACAGACCCTCGAGCCGACACCCTGATGGCTGAGGGTGTTTCTTCCAGAAAAGCTCTGGGACCTGGGGGTAAATGGCTGGGTGTGAGCACTGCGCCGAAGGGAAGGGGATGTGTGCTGCGTGCACATAGGCAGGGAAGGCTCAGGGCTCATGGGGACATCCCTTAGCGCCTGCGTGTGCGCTGGGACGCTGCCGTGGCCACCCCGTGCCAACAGCCCCTCTCCCCTCGGCAGGGGGGCGTTTCCACTCCCCCCCTGGACGGCGGCAGACCCGTCCCGGGGCCGGGGAGTGGGGCCAGCCGCTGTGCCAGCAGGACGGAGATGATGGCCCACGCCTTGTGCTGTCCCGCCACCAGCCTGGAGTGCCGGGTGAAGGAGCACGTGTCCCCGGGCTCTGCGGAGAAGGTAGGGACAGTGCACGCTCCTCCACCACGGCATTGCCCTCACCTCTGCGTGTCCCTCTGCCACCCTGACGGGTCAGGTTGGCTTTGGCATCTCATCGTGACCGTAGCCCCAACCCCAGCCTTCACTGGTGTCCCCAGCTGCCCACCTGTCATGGGACATGCTGCCCAGCTGGGGTCACTGACCACATCCCAGATCCCTGGGGACCATCAGGGACGGGCAGACCCCTGCCGCTTTGGTGGCCTGTGGAGCATGACTTCTTCTGCCCCGTTAGGTGACGGTGTCCTGTGACGACGGCTGGACGCTGACGGGCTGTAATGCCCATTCCCAGAGCCCTGGCACCATGGGAGCCTACGCTGTGGACAATACCTGCGTGGCAGCCAGCGACCCTGGCAGCAGTGTGGCTGTGGCCATCGCCATTTGCTGCCGGAGCCGGCAGTAGGGACGGGCTGAGCCGGAGACACGGCTGCCCTGGCCCAGTATCCCAGCATACTGGGGATGGGTGCTTTGCTGGACCACTGCATCCCTGGCTCGGTACCTTCCTAGGGCTGAGCTGCTGCTCCTGGCATGGTCCATGCTCCGACACGCGGCTGCTGACGGCCTCCACGCTTGGGCTGCCGTGATGGTGGGGTACAAGCTCATCACTCAGACAGCAGGGCTGAGACCCAAGGGGCTGTGGAAGAGCTTTCCAAGCAGCCCCCGTGCAGTCAGAGCCCTGTCCCATCACAGGAGTCATCCCGGAATCCTTTCCCCTCACCGTGTGCAGGCTCTTCCTGTAAATACCCGGACTGTACAAGCCATCTTGAGGCTGTTTGTTCATGTTGTCACCCAGCACATGACAAAACCACCACCTTTTTAAAAAAATATATATATATTGTGGTGAGGATTGCTCCTTTCTTTCCTGGTTAGTTGCTCATTAGATGTCAGAAAATGCCTCTTAGCACCTGGAAAATCATAGTTAGCATTTTTAGGCAGTTTTGTAATTGCCTACTTGTGTACCTGGGAGACTTCTTCACTTTCTAGTCAAGTGTAAGGGCTCTAGTTTAAACAGTCCGCTTGTCTAATTAAGATTTTAATCTGCATTGCTACAGAGTCAGCTTCTGCTTTGTTAGTGGTTTCTTTTTGTTGTTAAGTCAAAGTTAATGATCTGCTGGTGTTACGTGTTAAAGCTTTAACAGTTTCCCTTTCAGGGTTTCCCAAAATACATAGAATTAGTTGTAATTCCTTTGGGGTGGGGTGGGGGGGAGGGGTAAAGAAAAAGCTTTCGTAGTACATTTTAGCTTTTTACATTTGTACCTGAAATATTTATTTGGAATTTTATAAATAAACATTTTATAAACGTCTTTTTAAAATGAAATTCATAGACCAGTGTTCAGTAGATATGATCCATCATTTGGCTTCATGTATGGCCCCAGGGAGAAGCAGTGGCTGGAAGGGTGCCACCCATCTGGCCGGGATGCTGCTCCCCCAAACGAGCTCTGCTTCATTAGTGAGGCAGCCACAGGCCCCCACCTCGGGATCTGATCCCTGCCCTGGGTACACGGTGGCCCTGTATGACCATTGGCACCCTCCCTGTGCCCACAGCTGGCCCAGGCTCTGCATTGGCACAGGGAGCAGGGGCCGGGTCTTGTTGTCCCATGCACACACAAGAACAGAAGTTTGTTTTTAAAACAGTGGTGTAGGACAAGAGCTTCCAGTTATGGAAACAAACCATCATCCAGCTTGGGGGAATGTGCCCTTGTGCTTTTTGTTGCTAGTAACACTGGGCTAAGCTCGATAAGCACTGAAGCCCCAGAAAGAAGATAAAGCATAGATGTTCAAAGAGAGATTCACAGCAGCAGAGAAAGGCTGAGAAGTACCAGGAGCCACTTTTTTTTTTTTTGTGTGTGATTAGCAGCCTCTTGGTATTACAACATGTAATTTGTGTGGTGTTACCTGAGGACAGATGAAAAAAAATAAAGCTTGATATCACAAGCACCAGGTTAACCTGTCAAGCTTTGTCTATTCTGGGTATTTTTTCCCTGCCAAAGCACCCCTTACAGATCTCTTACTCCACCTTTAATTGGCAAGAAAAGACAGAGACCCAGTAGGATGCACCACTTTGAAAGGTTTAAACTATTTCTAACTTGTTACCTGAAGAAGGCCAAAGCCCAACCCTAATCTAAACGTGTAATTACATAACAGGTATGTAATTACAGCCCGTCATTTTATGAGCTATAATCTGAATTTTGCACAAAGAGGGGAAAAAGAAAAATGGGACGTTAGCCTAAGAGCTCCCAAAGAGCTTTGACACAGCTGGTAATTTTTCAGCAGACTTACTAGGCTGTAACCTCTCAAAACACGCATCAGATACTTCCCTTCCTGACTTCCCTTCACCTTCCCTTCGTCACCTTCTGCTGACGATCCTGCTGCCTGCTCACCTGCCGGCTCCCAGCAGAAGGTGTGAGCACATTCCATGCACAATAAGCCAGACAGAGCTTTCACGGCTTAGTTCAAGCGTACATAAGCCTGGTGGAGGGAAACAATATTAAAAGATAGCTTTCACGGCTTAGTTCAAGCGTACATAAGGGAGGGAAACAATATTAAAAGAAGATTAGCCCTTGCTTGGTATCTTGTATTGTGGGTAGGCAGAAAAGCCTCTCTGATTCAGGAGGAAGCAGCGTTGATCCCAGGTATGCTGTCGCCACGCTGTTCACAACACCCAGTTCACACTCCCAGGACTGGCACGACCAGTGGAGAGCACGGGCTGGGTCACGCTTGAAACATAAAAGTCTTTGTCCTTAGAGTGGAGGACAAAGGCACCTGTCAGGAAGGCAGAGCCAGGATGTCAGCCCTGTCCGTAGCTCCGAGTTCTGCTTTACGGAGGCAGCAAAGGGGTGAGCAGGGGAATACCAGCACCGCGGCACTGCTGCGTGTCCAGCTTTCTGCACTTCGCACCAAGAGAAAGGGTGGTATTAATTCAAGTCCAGATCGCCTGCAAATCTTGATAGCTGACACACAAAAGCTGGTCTAATCCATGACTGCAGGCGCAGCCAGGGTAAATCATTCTGCTAAGAAGGTCAAGAGAAGAAACTGCACACAGATACAAATCTGACAGTGCACCACGGCATAAGGATATAGAGCAGCGCAGCTCCAGGGGCTGTTCAGCTGCTTCAATTTACTCTGGACAGGAGCCAAAATGGCAATCAGGGCAACCTCTCAGAGCTTATCATCTGCAGGACTGGCCTAAGAAGCTTCAAGATAAGAGGGATCAACAAGACAACAGCGTAGCGGCGAATGCGCAATCTAAAGATTACACTAGTTTTCTGTGAAAGGAATAACTTTTATTCCATTGACCAGGAATCCCAAGACTGTTCGTCAAGACTGCCTATTTTTCCAGTGCCAAATGTCTGTGTATGAATCGGACAATATCTCCTCGAATGCTCACAGGCAGGCTGTGGCTAGCTCCTCACTGAACATTTTGTAAGCTGTATAAAAACATTTTCATCCAAAAAGATTGGCAGTAAAAATTACAACATAGAAATGCATCACAATTTACACAAAAACTAGTTTTGTTGAACTCTATTTTCCAAAAAATAATCTTCAGCAGGTTCAAATGACAGCAGCTGGAAACAAAAATAATTGACCAAGTATCATCTTATTGCAAATTATAACCACTGACTTTGTACAAGCGTGAGCAGAACCATGAAAAAGTTTGTATTGGTTTCAAGTATACAGTGGTGATGAGCCATCCTGATGTAATTCTCTTATCAATGCTTCTCTGGGCCTGCGGTAATCGAGGACGTTGTTTCCATAGGAAATAACAGGAACCTGAAGTGACGAGTGGTGCCAACCCATAGGAACGTTACCAGCTTCTTCCATCATCATCACCGCTGTGTACTGACTTCTTGTGATGATTTATGACCCATTAACAAAGTATTAGGGATGGGGGAAGGAAGAAGGGGAATCCGCAAGAAATGATTTACTCAAATCAATTTAAAACATCACATTTAAAATGTCCCAGCACATTATCAGAAACATTTATAAAATGCTAACTCTGCCATGTGTCTATGAAGACATTGTTTGGAAAAGAAAGTGAGAGGTTCACTACAATGCCACCCTTACTCCTTTGCACGTGCAACTGATGACAACGGCTCTCGTAACCCGCAATAAGTCATAAAGCTGTACAGCTGAAATCAGATTGGATGTCTTCTTCCAACAGTGAAATGACTGATTAATTCCAATATTAGTGCACAACAGTGAAAAGCTGTCTGCTGCTTCTTCTTTTGGCAACAGTATGTAAAAAGAAAAAAAAAAAGGCACTTTTTGGCTGGTTGTGCCTTTAACTTGGCAAATTTATCTATTCTGGAGGTACCCAGGCACTCCTTAAGATGTCCCCCATTTCTGTGCATGTTTGTTTATATAATTTTTTTTAAAGTAAGGCAGAATCCATAAATAAAGGCAAAAAGCAGTGCAGAAAATGTGGCAAACACAAAACATACAAAAGATGAAGCGTTAGTTGGCACAAAAGCAGCTTGTATGCAGAGCCAGAAATCACTGAACTGCACTTCACGTGGAAAACAAAACCGTGCTCAAATTGTCCCAACTGGTTTCCAGTTGTTTATGAGCAAATCAAAAGAGCTGTGATATTTTAAACGTTGCCTGGTCAAGTGAAAATACAAACACAGCCAAATCATTCTTTCCCCGTGTTAAAATTGCTATAAAATCTGCACAATAGTGTCCCAAACTCACTCAAGGAATTATTCATCATATACAACCAATACCAACTTTCTCAGTAATTTCAAAGCTAAGCAAGTGATTGCAGATCACATGATTGAGACTACATTTTATTCAATATGTCTCCAAAGATTAAAAAAAAAATTTAATGAGTAAAACTGCAACAGAATTCCATCTTAAAGTGCTTTTTTCTCTTAAACTACTCATTAACTTTTTTTTTCTTTTAAATTCACCAACATCCTTTAATAATAAACACTTGCATACCCAGAGAACAAAGTTTTTCTTTTATTGCCCTTCCCAATTGCCTGTGGTTTTCGGAAGGGTACCAGAAAAGATGACCCATTCCTGAACTCCTTGACGAAACCATTCTGTAAGGAATCACGCTCCTTACAGAGCAATCTTGCTGATCCTTCTCATAAAAAGCTTTACAAATTAGCAGGGAGACATATTAAATACAGAAGTCCTTATGTAAACCCATTCTTTAACTAATATTTTACAATGAAATGTAAGTCATCACACATCTTTACAGAAATTTGAATATTCCTATTCAATATTATCAGAAAGATTTAAAAATTTGCCCTCCATACATAAGGGCGGTCTGTTGTTTTTTTTTTCCTGTATAAAAACCAAAAGAATTTTTTTGCAGCATCACAGAAAAGCAACAGTTTTACATTCACTCGTTTAATGTTCACATAAAAATTCAACCACTAGCGTTTGTGTATTTGA